AAGATCATGCAGAAGACATCAGACTTCAACAGAAGAAAGTAGTGATCAGTCGCGGTCGATATTTCAAAGAATCGAAAAATGTCATCGACGTAGTACATCTTCTCAACGAATTCAATCTTGATGTACCTCTCGTTGTCTATACGCGAGATCGAGTCGAACTCAAAAAGAAACTACCGAACATTCCAGAACAAGTGCAAGTTGTCGATAAACGACAAGAGTTACTCAATTTTGTGAAAGACAAACTAAATTTGTGATTTGTCATGCAGCAATTTTTTTCTTATCCTAAAAAATAAAATACTTTCTAAAATATAATCATTGATTGATTGAAAGGAACGATATTGAAGGAGTGCTCTAGACGAGTGTGTTAACTTAAAAGATAAATATAGACTTAGAAACTGTCAAATTATTTGATTTGATCACGAGAAATATACCATTATTTTCAAAAGAATGCATTCGTAGTAAGATACACTTGAACAAGTACGAGCAACTTGTAGAACGACGATCACAAAATCAGATCAGGAATCAATTCTGTATCTTGTGATAACGGGTCGACGATTCTGTGTGCTTAGTATGATGTGTTGTGTATGTGCTGTACGTGTATGTTCTTGTATTAAACGGTGGCGGGTGTGGGTGTGTGAGTAAACAAGAAGATTATCGAGGTCCACATCCACACTCTCTATCAATAGGCAAGTTAACAATATGTCTTCGTCATAGTCATAAGTATGCACAAACTAGATCTTTTCTGATGCTGACTATACTATAGTGTTCAGAACTAATGCCGATCCGCATGACATTAGCTAGTATTATCGTGTCCTTTTCAGCACTATGAAGTGCGCAAATCACGTAGATATATGAGACAAAAACTTAGTCTGGAGTGCAAATTCACGGGATCCTGCTTCTCGCTCGAAAGATAAGAATAATTAGATAAGTTAACAAGATGTTGCACTCAAATCGAAGAAGTATTTCTGTTCTTTTTTATAAAATCTTCTCAGAAACAATTTAGTTCAATTACAATTCATAGTCAAGTCGAGTTGGATAATATACATTCTTGAAGAATATTTTTCTCTCGTTATCTTAAAAATGACAAATGTTATTTTTCAAAGTTTGTATCAGTGATGTATAATGTTCACTTTTTATGACATCATTGAGGGTATAGAGACGAATATGCAACAAGTAGAGAGTCCAGAGAAAAACAGCAAAGTTACGCAAGGAAAATCGACCGAACATTTACCATTAGCTTCTTTCATGTTCCAGTGCAACTGACTTGCAACTGTATATCGCTGACTTCAGTTCATTTCTAGGCCAATCAATAATATCCTTATCGTTATCTGTATTACCGTCCCACATATGTGCCCGCATTGTACCATCTGGTACTTTTGTCAGCCATTTTTCAACTCGACCAGCACATATTTTTTCGATGACACGGAAAATGACTTCTTGTTGATTGACTCCACAATCAAGGGCAATGGCACCGAATATAGCTTCTATACAGCTCGCATACATGCTCATAACGGGATATCGATGTGAGTTTCCACGTATAAGATATTGTTCTAAATGCAGTTTATCATATGCAAGTTTCGCCAAAACATAGTTTGGAATGACTTTCTGAGTACCTTCATGCAATTCTTTACACTTTCTGATTACATCATCTCGTCCGTTGAGATATAAATATCGAGTAACAGCGTATTTCACTACACTATCTCCAACAAATGCCAAAGAAGTAAAATCACGAGAAAATGCCATTGGATGCTTTTCGTTAACTGCTGATTTATGAGTTAGAGCCTGTTGAAGTAAATCTTGATTTTGAAATTTATATCCGATTAATTCTTCAAAGTCAACTAATGATTTGACTTCTAAATATGTTTTTGGCATCATATAATAAATGAATTAATTTCGTTTTTGTAAAGTATACTTTACGATAACTTGATTATCTGTCACACAAAATATAATCAAGATTTTATTCAATCTATAATCAAAATTGAACGATATATTTTTCAGAAGGAAAATAAAATAATGAATAATTATAATGATTTATCTATCTTCAGGAGTGAGTGTGGATCTATTTCTTATTTATTCCACATCCACATCCACACCTTCAACTCATTGAGGATGAACAAACCCTGCAATGTCTATTCTTACCGGCTTGTCTTTTTGTACAAAAAAAAGTAAAAATTGTGTAGACACTAAAATATGCTCGTTTATACGTAAACATCGGTTTTTATATTATTTTTCTTATTAGGTTGTCACATGATGGTTACTTGTAAGAAAAATGTCTTCAAGCATGAAAAAAAACGCATATTAAAATGATCGAGAAACGCATCTGTCTTTCGTTATACATTGGCTATTTGCCAATTTTTCTTCTTCTATTCTCTAATAATAAAATCAGAATCAATTCAAAACAAAATAGAAGAAAGTAAAAAAACGAACAGTTTATATCATTCTCTCGCTTCAATGCGTAAAAACATCGATCATTTCATTATTTATCCGCCTTTATTGTGGTGTATCATTGATAGCCAATGCGATTAAGAACAATATTTAATATGTGATCATATATTGGTCTTATATATTGCCAAATATGAAAATAATTCAAGATAAATTTAGAATTACGATTATTTCATAAGGATCTTTTATATATTGATTTGCTCAGCTAAAATCTGAAATGAATTTTCATAATATGTAACATTGGCTTATATACAATAAGTCGCATGTATCCTTATTGATACATTCACTTAAAATCAAAATCTTGATATGCTTTTCTATTTATTGTCGCTACGTTATGTAAAAGAGTAGATCTTTCATTATGGTGTCTCAATTCCTACATGATATTGTTTTAAAAGATTTTCTCTTTACATGATATAATATGGAAAATGAGGCTCTGCTTTCCGATGCTGCTAGATCGGGATGTGGGCTTGGACTAGATTTGTATCTAATACCAACACCTGCACCCTCAAGATAAATACATATAGGATACCGAATCTATATTCATCTATCCTTAAATGTAAATATAAACTAAATATTGATGCTGTTTCAGTTTTGTGCTAGTCTCTCCACATCAACATCTAGAATTTATTTTACAGTGTAAAAACTATAGTTCTATTTGCTACCATTCTTGTTTTAGATATTAACAACGTATTTCATTCTATTCTGAATCTTGAGGGTATGGGTGAGTATTCTATTTTTTCGGCCCCATCCATGCCCGCACCCACGCCCACCCCCGAGACGATATGACATACAATAAGACGAATCTGAGTCGTATAAATGTATAGCGGTTCATTTATTTATAGTTCATAATAATAGAAAAAGACTCAAAACAAATAGTGAAAATGCATACTTTAATCGAATAATCTATTTTTATAGTTATAGAAAGAATATCAAAGTGAATTGTCTGCACGGTGATTTCTCTACATAAAGATTTTCACTACTAATTTTGCTGGTTTGTTGAAGATTCAGATTGCTCGCAAAACTGCTCTATTAAACTTGAGTATTCAACTGGAACCTTTAAAACATATTTCTTCTTGCGACGTTGATAATGTCTTTTATGAAACATTCTTTTATACTTTAGTTTACGTTTTCGCTTTTTAGCATCTAACAGCAACTGTGTAAACGATAAAATCTGTTTATATGTTATCAGATCTTCGTCGTTCTCATCATCAACAAGCGTTTCTTGTATTTCAATGCATTGCTGTAAATATCTTACGCCATATTCAACATTATTCATTTGAAAATGAGTTTGGCAAATATTATAAAGCAAAGATACTAAACTGGAACTGTCGTTTTCATCTGCAATTGCTAAACTTCTTTTGTAATAGATTAAAGCCATCCGAAAATCTTGTTTATCATAATAAACTTTGGCAACAATACCTAAGATGTTTTCCAGTTGAGAATCATTTTCTGTTAGCTTAAATTTTTCGTATAGTTCTAGTCCAATTAAAAGGTGCTTCAGTGATATTTCCAAGTTTTGATTTTGATGATAAATGACTCCAATTGCTTCGTGTATTTTAGCAATTTCAATATTACTTTCAGAGTTTTTTAGTATTTCTAAGGATTGCAGATAATATTCAAGTGCTTCATCATAATTATTCTGTTTCAAAAATAACTTTCCGACACAACTGTTAATAGTACCAATCAAAGTTTTGTTTTCCGGATCCGTTTTCTTCTTAATATTTAATGCTTCTAAATAGTGCAGTAGACTGTCGTCATAATGGTTTTGATTCATGTAAATTGTACCCATATTGACTAAAACATCAGCTAAAATATCTTCGTCCGAAATATCACGCCGCAAAATTTCCAAAGATTTTTCGTAATAAACTATCGCATTCGTGTCATCGTGTTGTGATATATAAGCATGACCAAGTTGAGTGTAACATCTCGCAGTATTAGAATCACTAGATGATAAACGAAGGGCATTTCTCGAATGTATTATAGATTGATCAAATTGTCCAAGTTTAAGATAAATCTGACCTAATATAGTTTCTAACTCCTCGTCTTCAAATTGGACCGGCACTGAAATAACTACATTTAAAGCTTCTTGATATTTGTCTTCGTGGTAGTAAAGATAAAAGATTTTTTTTCGAATATGATCACTATTAAAATTGGTTGATGACGTCGCTTTCTCTGAAGAAAAATTTAATTTTGCTAAATAGAACGATTTTTTATCAGAATCACCGCTAACGTTACAGATTTTCCCTAGACTGAAAAGGATAGGGTCTAGAAACGGGAATTATCTTTTTTATATGTATTATTTTTGTCGGTAACATGGCTAAATTGACCATTTTTTTGGCACAATTGACCATTTTTTTGGCACATCTGACCATTTTTTTGGCACATTTGACCATTTTTTTGGCATATTTGACCATTTTTATGGCACATTTGACCATTTTACTTTGTGGTATAAATGACCATTTTTTAGGCACAAGTGACCATTTTCTTGGTACAAATGACCATTTTTTTGGCCCAAATAACCATGTAACTATGGTATATTTTTGATAATATAATTTTATTTGCTATTATCGTTTTATTTTAATAGCATAATATTCAATATATAATATTTTATTCAATCGTATGAAAAGAGCGCTTACTTAAATATTTAAAATATTTCTTAATTATATATATATATATATAATATTTTATTGTATCAAAAGGGCGCGAACCTAAAAATTTAATTTATTCGTTAAAAAGGGCGCAAGCTTAAATATTTGAAATATTTCTTAATTATATATAGATCATTATTTTATTGAATAAAGTGAAATAATGAGGCAACGCTAATTTTTCTTTTAATATGGAGGAAAATCAAATAATATTAATAATAAAAAACGGAACATTCGTATGCATAGAGTATTATAAAGCTTTGGAAAAAATGTTTGCCTATTTTTATATAGCATATCATTTATCATCATAGACAAATATTTTTAATAAATGTTTGAAAAAAACAATGATGTGTCGAAATGTCCTGTACGATGACTCAATAAAATAAGACCCAGAATTAGAAGCTTAAAACCATACGCATTGTAATTTCATCATATTAAAAGTCTAGTTGATGCATTATTGCAAAATATTTCAATAAATTTGTTGGTTTAATAGTCTTGCTATAGTGCATATAGATAAAAGAGTTCAAAATCAATTTTGATATATAATGATAGAAAGATCTCCACTGTAGTTTTTTTTGAAATCCTACTTTTTATAAAATTGACTTTAATAAAGCTAAAGCATTTTTAAACTTTATTATTCATTCGTCAAATATCAAACTTTTAGAGAATACTTGATTTCATATAAGATAGAACTTCAGTTTGATTCTCTGCTGAAAGTCAAAACTAACATTGATTAAATCTCATTCGTATATAAATGGAGTTATATCAGCATGCAGACCGCGACAGTCTAGGGTCAAGTGAATCGAATTTCGATGAACGCTACTTGTGAACAATAATTTCCAAAATACTCTTAATTTCAGGGTGTTTCGATGAAAATACTTTTTGGAGAATATTGTAACTATTGATTGCATAATCTAAAGCTGGTATATAGTTGTTTTCCGCTAGATGAATCAAAGAAACATCTTTTAAACATTCTGAAAGATTTAAATATTCAATTGGATGACTTTTATTATATATTTCCAATAATTGATTGTAATACTGTAAAGCATCTTGATATTTCTTATCATTGGAAAGTGTTTTGGCAATTGCACGCAAACAACGAGCAATTTGTGGATGTCCATTTGGATAGCCTTCTTTGAGATTTTCTAGATATGCGAATAGGTCAGCTAATGAATGTTTTTCTTTTTCTCTTTCGTCTAAAATGTCAGAATTCAAATACTCAACGGTGAGCCCATCTTTTTTTATTACTGTTTCGTGAATTAATAATGATTGCTCATAGTAACGAATAGCATCGCAGATACTTCCTTTCTTCTCATAAATTGCTGCAGTATTAGCATAAATATCTGCGTATACTGTTTGTTGTGTAATAGATAATACTGACTCATCCAAGTTCTCCAAACATTCCAAAAAGAATTTCAATGCATCATCATATTGATTACTCGACATATAAACAAGGCCAATGTTATTTATACATTCAGTTATCGAAAGGTGTTTGATAGGATAAATTTTCTTTAGCATATTTAATGCATCAGTGTAAGATTTAAGAGCTAGGTCATTCTTGTTTTGTAATTTATATACATTGCCAATATTTAGAAGCAAACCAGCTTTTCCAGGATGATTGTCAGGTAATGTTGTCGAATAAATTTCATTTGCTCGCAGAAAAGAATTCATAGCATCATCATGAAAACCTCGTTCTTCATATATAAGACCCATATTTTGTAAACAGATTCCTATATGCGGAATATTCTGATCCGGTAGAGCTGTTTTATATATCTCCAATGCATCTGTATAATTACTAAGTGCTTCGTCGAAATTATCTGTATGAAAATAAACATTGGCAATACCGACTAAGGTTCTAGCTATTTGCGTTGTCATATTATGAGTCCCTTCAATATCGAATATATCATCAGACTCAGATACCATTGACACTAATATTTCCCGATTGCGATCATATGCACTCTGAAAATAATTTAGCGCTTTACTATATTCACCTTTCAGAGTATAAATTGTGCCAAGACTATAACGAAGTTGAACTGTATCTTCTATAGAAAGAAGATTCTCGAAATATCTCTCTGCCTTGTGATATTCACCCATATCATATAGAAACTCGCCGAACAAAATATTAACATCAAATTCTTCCAGTTCTTCACGCTTGAAAAGTATATAATCGTTCAATATTTTGTCTCCATCGTTTGATGCTGTCATATTAATCGTCCATTTCGACGGCTTTTGAGTATCATCCTCTATAATAGTATTAATCTGAAATATACTACCTAAATCGAACAAAACTTCTAATTCATCCGGCATCAAACTTTCAGCTGTAATATCAGCAACAATTACTTTGTTTTCATTAACATCCATATTGATAATGAAGAGAACTGGTTCGGTTGTATCTGTTGTTGTCTGGATAGACACATCCCAACCAGCGTAGAATTTCGCTACATCCATGGATCTGCTTGCCGAAAGAAAGCCGTTTGTCGATATCAAATTTCCCTCGTTCATTTTTAACTTCAATAACTGATCGCGATCTAATCGTAGTCCACGATACAGCGTTAAATCTGGCATTTCTAATTCAATCTGAAGTTGCTTGAATTGCTCATATTTATTCTTTAAACTTGCACACAAGTCTTCGATGTAATATCGTAATGTATATAATCCATCGATATCTTCAGTTCTTAATGCTTGATTAATTAGTTTATAAAGAAATGTATCCTTACTATACCATTTAGCAGCATCGGAAGATTGATATTGTGTTTCAAACTCCCCAATGTGTTTTAAGTCATGTGCAGATCCACGATAGTAATCACGACATTTTTCTACCATTCTTATCTTCCAGTCATCTGTTCTAGGCATTTTCCATAAAATATCCTTTAATAATTGATACCATAAAAAACAAATTGAATCTTTGGTTAAATTGCGCATCGACTTTTGTTTTTGATTGAATAATGTAAACGCAGCAAATTGTTTGTTCAGATCATCTAATGTTTTCTTGATACTGGAACAGAGCTCATCTTGTGTGTTAAAGATATCGACAATTTTAGAATATGATTGACACATACGAAGTGGTTCATAGATTTGCTTTTCCAAACAATATACAAATATTGAATCAATCTGTTTTAGCGCATGAATTGTTTGAAAAGTAGTAGTATTTGCTGCTTCTATACCGGAAATAACAAGAAAAACAATTTTCTCTGGATTTGTGTCAATTGATTTTATTAAATCATCCGAATTAGTATGAAAAGAAGCGGCAGCTTTGATATCTTGTAGAATTCGTTTTGTTTCACATACATCATCATCGTCCTCTAAACATGTGTTTTTATCTAACCACGATAACGAAATGTCAACATTATTGGATATAATTCTATGGTTATGATATTGTTGTATATTGTTCGATGATTCGATATTATTACGTAGGGTTTTTAAACATGGCGAAGCACACATTCTTCTTGATTTGTCAAATCTATAAAATCAATATTTCGCTACAAGAAATTCGACTTTATATTTTTTGCATTGCACAGAAATAAAAATATAAGCAAAGTTTATTTTAAATGCCGTACAGAGTAGGCATGCGCGAGTATAATCCGACTGGGTATATATTTTAATTGATTCATTGTATATTCACTCCTTTCAACTTGCGCCATCTCAATATACTACCGTTATTTTATATCTGCATAATTTTTGTTGATAAAATAGAAAGGGGGAGGATCTGGGTGTGGGCGAGTGTTAATGTCGCTGTGGGTGTTGGTGGGTGTGG